CGTGAGCTCGTTTACATACGGCTCTGTTTCTTATCTCGGCTTAGTCTCGCTGCCTGGGGTCACAGCATTCAGGTTTCTGAGGTCAGAAGGTCATGTCATGTCAGACTGTGAGTAACGCCAGGTCTTCAATGTTTGCCATTTTTTAACTCTTATGGTTAAACAGATGCTGACAGCATGTGATGATGATGTTTGCTTAAAGTGGACAGACTAATGTAGTGTGTGTGTGTGTGTGTGTGTGTGTGTGTTTAATGAAAAGGCACTGGCTGAGCTGCAAGAACTCACATTCACCTCAGGGGCTTTTACAAACATGCTCCCTTGTCATCATAGCATTATGATTGAGCTGATATTGTAGTCCAACGCCCTTTAAATGGTATTCAACGGTCCAGTGCACAGTGCAGCATTCTCACACTTCCTTGTTTCAAACACAGATATAAAACCTGCCTTTATGATATCATGTAGCTTTAAAATTGGGTTTTGGCTGAGGAGAAGCCTATTGCACAGTCAGTGAGTCAGCTGGGGCCAAGCAAATGAGGAAGCCGGCAGTATTCCCATAAACTGACATATCAGAAACAAAGCAGTGCACGCACACACACGTAAATACCCAAGATAAAAGCAGCTGGACTCAGCATGGTTTCATAAACTGAAAGCTTCCTTCTGAGTTATGACCTCTTGCAGCGCTCTGCTGTGTGGGACAGCACATTCCAGTAACTGAGTGTTAGGCCATAAATGCGGACAGGTTTGGAGAAAGTGAGTGTGTGTGTGCACAAACCATAGCATACACAAAAGCCCTAGATGGAGTCTACCTGTTGTAAGTGTTTTATGAGAACACTGTCCACTCTGACACACTCCAGCTGCAGTGAGTTTTTGAGAGAGGGCTGCTGGACTGAGGGGAGGCCTGGGGTAAACTGGCTCAGTGCCTAAGTAGGCGGATGACGGAGCAGTGTTGTAGCCGCAAAGCAACAAGAACAAAGCAACATGCTTGTCGAGCAGTAATATGTCAGCAACCAATGATGTTTTTTTTACTGGAGGGTAAAGTGTCTTAAAATGATTTAAGCCCTCTTTACACAGAGAGCTTTAAAAGGGGCCTTGTATAAACGTGCTTTTGGCAGTGCTCTATGACACAAGTAGAGTTAAGGGGTGGGGGAAGAGTGAGACTTGCTTCATATTCTCACTGGCTGTCTACCCTGCGCAGGAATTTCATTCATCTAAAACATCATCCCCAGGCTCTAATTGCTTCTCTGGGCCAGCTTAATGCTCCCCCCTTGCAAGTCTCAACCTTCTGAGGAGAGCAAACAAAACCCAAGCCGACAACCAGTGCGCCTGTGGACAACTATGTGGTGTTTAAAACTAGTAACAGTGGTAAATAAACTGTCCCTTCCTGTATGGGGTCATCTCATATTTCTATAGGAATACAGCAGATATGATTACTATTCAGCCACAGCAGCCGGCTCCTGACATTGTGTCCGTTAGTGTGTTGATGTATGGAGCCACAATCTCACGGCCGATTGCACTCGACACTGCAGCACAAAAACAGAATGGTCATGTGATAAGAGGGGCCCCTTACAGAGAGACAGACAGAGAAACAAGGAGAGTGTGTATGTATACAAGAAGACAGGATGTAAGGTTTGACTCCTGTTTATTTACAAAATAATACAAATCCTCGATTTGTAAACAGTACCACGCATTCCAGCTTATGCACCCAAATTTCACAGAAGCAACAAATTTGGCAGGGAGAGGGTTAAAGTTTTTGTGAAAGGTTGTGAAACACCAGGCTCAGTGTCTGAACAGCTCCTTCAGCATTCTTACCACATCCTGAAACTACGTCAATCAGATGGCAATGCTCAGAGTAAAAAAAAAAGCTTATCGGTTCAGTTAAAATCAACAAAGTAACTCCCTCAGATATAAGCACTGTGGTGTATTCTCTTATCATGCTCTACTCAGAAACATCCATAGTGTGGATGAAACAAGCAGCACTATCTCCCGCCCTTACGCACACAGGCCTATCATCATCTCCTGTCCTTAAACATCTGAAATGAGAAGGAGTCGATCTGGGGTCAGTGGCCGACACACTCTTGATGACATCTCTGACTATGATATGACGGACTGGGCTAAAAGCAGATCAGTGTTTCCAGTCTAGGCCGCTTTTCTCCCATTATCACCACAAGCCATATGACTGCTCAGGCCTCATCAATACTGTGCATCTGTTAATTGATCTTTGTGTCTCTGCTGGATTTTTTTTTTCTTTTTTTTAAAATGTCAATTACACAATCTCATCAAAACCGCACGACTACTGTGAATGTGTTACTAGTATCAAATCATGCCAGCCAGCCACTTGGCATAGACACCAGTACTGCCATGTGTAACATCTCTAAGATGTGTGCAGTGAAGCCAAACTAACTTTATGTGCATGTTTGTTCTAGTTTAGATGGGAACCACATGACTTTTGAATGTGTCCTACTCCTTGTCCTGTACTCCTGGTCCCTTCATTCTGCACCTAATCTGTCTCAGTCCTGTGTTTACGCTTCAGTCCAGAGAAGGCAGAGAGGACCAGCACGCATCACTATGTGCAAGGGAAATTCAAAACATCTTCCACCTCACTTTTAGGAATTAGTCAACAAGCAGCCAACATGCATTGTAATAAAAACAATAAAGGCATTGTACTAGTTAAATGAGCCCATTTATTTAATGCCGTTGCTGTTTTCAACGCCTCTTCAGCAGCATATTTACACCCAATCATAAGCATTCCACGACCACAGAGTGACATATTCTTCTGAGACTCTGTCGTGTCTTCGACCCTACTCTTTCGTCCTCTGTTTACAAGAGGAAATGTCTTCATCTGCGAGGGAAGGGGAGGAGGGGGGTAGAGGAGAAAGAGAAAGAAAGAGAGGGAGCCTGTGAGTGAGCGGAACAAGATAGCCAGAGAAAGAAAAGAGACTGAGACTCTGGCCATCTGTGAGTCTGGCAGCAAGCCAAACCACTGCCCACAGAGCCCAGGCACATGCCTAACTGCCTCTTTCTGCAATGGTAGTCCAGAACTGCTTCCACAAACAACAGGCCTGTGGAACCACACACAAAAACACAGCAGCCACCAAGGACAAATGCACCCTTATGGTCATAAATAGGGCCCGAAACACAATATTTGTAGAAGTGTAATTGCTCTGTGACAAAGGCTGAGTGACACTGCCGTATGCGTGTATGCATGTATGCATGTATGCATGTTCACCCAATTCTGCCACTGTTCCGGAAGAAAAAAAAAGACAAATGAATATGTCAGCAGGTCTTTATGTTAAATTACCAAATCCCTTGTTGTTGCTGTCTTGTTTTTGCACAAAAGAGTCTGTAAACCTTGTGCGATTTAACAATGTTTCCCACAAAAATGACGCAGATCATTATTGTTTCACTGCAAACTGACTTAACACTACAAAGTGCAGTGCTTGTTGCAAATGACCCCTTTTTTCACAACAAAAGGAGCACGATAACAACACAGCTCACACCTGCCGATTGAAAATAAACTCTGGCCCAATTGAGAAATCAACTGGTGAATCCAACCAAGAGACACAATAGCTTTACACTTGTGTATGTATGCAGAGGATGAGCAGTGTAGCATTATGCTGAGATGGCTTTGCTTCTGAGGTTTTGGGACCTCTCCAGGGATCCCTGCTTTGGACTGCGGTCTGAGAAGCAATGTCCAAGAACCACCAAGGTGCAGGCCCTCAGATTAGTTTTACAACTCTTGCTAACTAATTCAGAGAATGATGATGGCGTATGGAGTGAATGGATTGACAGAAAGGTCTTGTACAGCTAGCTTATCCAACATTTCATGATGACGTCTATCAAAAACGCTAATAACCTTGCGACAAAAAACAAAAAAGACCACTGAGACTGAGCAACATTGCGGGCCTTTGATAGCCAAGGCTATGCATTAGTCTTTGAGGGAGCTGCCTGTGATGGTGTGGTAGGTTCAAAGCGGACACACATGGGTGGTTATGTGGAGCAGCATCTTGCATAAAGCGCTAATGGACAGCCCATTGAAGAGGACGCTCACACGGTCAAAGACAGTGACTTAATGCTTAGTTAATGTGTTGGGAAATGCCATGCAACACTGTGGGAGTTTCTGTTCATGACCAACTGGTGGGACATGACCTACAGAGATGAGAGGACACCATGTTGCTTTTGTGCAAAACTAGTGAAGCAACTGTAAGGGTGCTTACTTTAAAAACGCAACACTGCAGGGCAGGAGTTCACTGCCTTGTGGCCTGGTGTGCAACTCTTCTCTGAGCTGAGGTTGCAGGCACAGGTGTGTTACAGTTAGTTAAGCAAGTGTACTCGACAAAGGCCTAGTGGACGGTACATCATCTGATACACATGCTTATACACAACAGCGACTCAATGCTTGGATAATGTGTTGCAGATGCATTTAACTGCTGTGGCAGTTTTTCTATGCACATGAGAGTTGAGCAAAATGTGACCCCTTTTCTCTTCTTTCACCGCAGAGCAGAAATATAGAGGCAGGTTTACCAGGGACTCATTTTCAAGAGTTCAAGACTCTGAGAAAGCAGGAAGTTCAAGAATGACTCAATGATTTATGTTTCTTAAGTCAATGTGTCAAGGGATGTTAACATAAATAACAATGTGGCACGTTCCTTCTGACAAATGCAGCAAGTCCCAGGAGTAAACTGGTACACTTAAGGCATCTTGCTGGCAGGGCTGGCTAAAGTGTAAGCCAAGAGGGCCTTTATCTGTGGGCAACATGCACAAATGCAAAGTGGTTTTAGGTTGAGAGCTGAGAGATAAGAAAATGTTGTGTGTCTGTGCAAGTGAGTGCCTGCTGTGTGTGTTAGGGCCTAGATATCCAACAACCACCTGCAAGATTCCTGTGGATTATTCATGTATTTGTTAAAAAAGGGTGCTCATTTAAAGGCCTGTGAGATTACCAGAGCCAACCCGACTGTGACTAAATGTTAAAACAATATACAGATTAAGGATTTTTAATGATTTACCTGTGACAGCTGTCTCGGATCAGGAGCCCCGAAGAGAGAAGAGCTGGAGCTGAAACTAATGGCTCCCCTCCGGCTGAGGACATGCTTGGGAACCGGCCTGTCTAGAGGCAAAACCGGCAGCTGATAACATACTTCCATTGAATAGTCAGGGCTGGATCCGGATCAAAAGTATAAAAAAAATCTAAATATATAATGAAAAAGATAACAAATGCAATGCGAAAATAGATGAGTGGTGAATTAGAAAATCTCCCAAAGCCGAAAAAATATTTCAATATTGTGGAAACGATCTGCTGTCGAGCTGCAAAGTATTTCTGTTCATTATGAGCGACTCAAAACTTGTCCAGATCGCCTTCATTGATGCTGCGTCTTCTCTACCTCCACCGTTTTACCTCCTTTGGTGTCATTCTGTAGGAAAAAAATCATGCTGCTGTTGCATTTGCTCCTTTCCTTCTCATTTTACTCAAATCCGGGCCCACGGACGACGAGACCTTCTTGCCATTTTCTGGGTCTTTATGAAAACGCTTCCTCATTTTCAAAGCAGAAAAAAACGTCCGCTCATTTGCGTTTCGTGGCGCTCACAGATCCGCATATCGCATATCCCGAAATGAAAACAAAAGGCACGACCACTTCCAAAAAATGTCATCAACATATCATATTGTATGCAACACCGGCGGATGAGGTGAGGCAGCTCCAGGATGTGAGACCTCGGCAGCCGTGGCCGGGAGGATTTTCTCTCATTCAGGACTTACACCGGCGGTGGCGAAATATAATCAACATGTAGGGCTTTTCCGTCTTTTTTCAGAAGCTGCATGATGAAGGAGCAGTTGTCTAATTCACCGCTGACCGTAAAGCACAAAGTGTCTGGCTCAAAGAGGGGAACCCCGACGTTCATCTCATTCACTGCGACTCCGGTGGGTTTAAAGGAAACGTAATGGCGGGTAACGCAAAACTATCAACCAAAAGACGACAAAATAACAACCTAAAGTGTGTTTATTTCCCTATTACTACCTATCTACCGTCCTAAACATTAGCCTACTGAATGGTTTTAAAGCACACACCACCTGCCAGAGATGGTGCTGTTGGAGCGAGCAAAAAACGCCCTTGTCTCAGATAAACCAATGGAGTCGAGGCTGCTATTATAACCTCAACGCTGATTGGACAAAGCCGCGTCAGACTTATAAACCGGATTACACCATTGGCTGCGCGGCCAGGGCGATCCCAAGACCTATATGAGCAGTCGTTTGCAGACGGCGTGGACTTTCTCAAGGGTATTCCTCCACAACGGGGCTTGCCCTGCAGCGGTCCACATCATTGCCTGTGATTACCTTCCTCTCATGACTCATACTACTTGGGAACTGAGACTCACCGGGAGTTTGAAATACAGCCGAGGAAATACAGCAAAATGTTGCAGCTTTGTCAGGCTGAGGCAATTTGCTCTATTTGAGTGCTTGTGGTGACTCAAGACACAAGCTGACTGCATTGTGAAGCAGACTCTGAGTTACTCATTTTATTGTCTGCATGCATTATTTAGGTGTGTCTGTCTGCACCAAATGCACATAAGATACTGGAGGCTTTTTTCACATGATGAGGTGTAGCTGCTCATACATCATATAATTCCCCGTAAGAAAACACACGGCACAAACAGACCGGCACATGAACATTTCAACTGGAGGTTTCTGTGCCATGCCCATGTGCTGGAGGACAATGGATGTGCCATGGCAACAGTCAGGCCCAGTGCCAATGGAGGCATAATCCCCTCCCCATTTCCATGGGTCTGAATGCAGTCCCCCACAGTCATACCCCCCACAAAGAGGTCCTGCATCTTTTTCCAGGCAACTAAGGCAACACTGAAAAACAACAAATGTGTTGTAGACAGAAGCAAGGCTGGAAAGTGTACTTCAACAGCCAACTCAGGTTGAGGTACGCTTCAGTTTTATTTCAAGTGAAATACTTGTGTTGGAAACTACTAAATACCTATTCTGACTAACAGTTGAGTAACAGCAACAGTTACTCAGTTAGCTATGATACACCTAAAAGGTATTTAGTCAGGTATTACTCTGACTCAAACCATTTCACAATTTATGCCACACCACACAAAGTAGTGAAGATCTTTAGGGTTTCTCAGAGGATTTGTTTAGAGGGAAAAGAGGATCAGTGAAACTTAACTAAATCAGCCATAGCTGTAGTTTTCTCTGCAACATTTCTGAGTATAGAATGCATAATCCATTTGTGTAACATTGTGAAAGTTTAATACTGATGTCAGAATGAAAAAAACAAGTGTTGGTAAAAAAAAAAAAAGTGTTGGTGACTTCTTCACCTTGCGGCATACACACCATAAAACCATTTAATTTGACGTTTACTACTACTTTTCCTGAAGTGTTAGCATAAATGACTGACATGTCACATCTTGATTTTTAAAAGTATTTCATGCAAACAGAGCAGAAAAGATCAACCACACATGGGCGTTTCTGCTTTTGCATTCACAGTTTACAAACCTGTTGTTGCCAGACAACTCCGAAACTGCCTGATCTGCCTTAAGACTACGTCAATGGCAGGTGACGTGTGTTTGTGCACAGGACAGCACATATTTTACACGCACTCCTCTAAGTAAACATGTGGGAAAAGGATTTGGAAGACATTTCTGTTAATTAATTTCTTCCACAGACCTTTTTTCCCCCCACCACGTGCATGCAAACTAACACACACCATGCACAGATGCGCACATCTGCAGCAAAGCAGGTGTGTTTAAGTGCTCTAGCGTCAGCCTCAGGAGCTTTAGTAAGGCAGGTGAGCTGCATACCTGCTGATTCCCCTTGAGGTCACGGGTATAGTGTCTGCTTGTGGGGCCCCCAGTGCCCAACTCCACCGCCCTGACTCTGGTTTTGCTGAGAGCTCTCTGGAGAGCAAGCCACCATGGTGTCCCTAATTAATATACCTGTTACCCTCTGACAACACTGTGGGTATTACAGGAGTCATTATCTATTGCTTAATTGCCTGTGCAGCAATTTTATGCCTTTAGTACACTTTCACATACGGATTCTATATGTGCATCTGTAAACAAACACACACATTACACATATTAATACACAGACATGTGCACATGGACATTCCTGCTTCCTGATGCTTTAAAATGTTATATTTAATGTAACTGCACGTCCCCTTTTAATGACTGTCTGATATTTTCCTTGACTAATAACATTTTTTCAATTAATTCATTACACATTTGCACCTGTATCTTACACATATTAAAATAGACTGCTATTACCAACAGAATGTACTGAGTTAAATTGAAGAAATACATTTTTATACTGTGATACACTTTTGTATTATCATTACCAACACCTTTAAACATGTATTGTGTGTATTTAGAGCCACCTTGTGGTGAAAAGGAGTGCTTACAAGGACAGTGTGCTTGTGGGATTAAAAATGACTAACAGTATATTTCACAGATACTTTAAAGGAGCAGGATTCCTACTTTGTAATCAGAAGACTTAATTGTGCAGTGAAACTGAATTTTGATTCTGCAATAGTGACAACTACACTTTATAATGCCTGCCAAATATAAGCAAATGTTGCACACCTGGCACCTTGTCTTAACACCTCAAATTCGTATTTCCGGACTTGGATATGTGCAATGGGAAAAAGAATGTAGTTCTAGTGTAAACTAATAAATCCAGAAGTGCTAAACCTATTGACTGAGTCCCACATAGCATCAGCGTGTTGCAGATTAATTTGTTATTCATGTGTTACTGAAGTGACAAATCTTGTTTCCATCTACAAACAAATTGAAAGCAGTATGAATCATAAAATGTAAATGCAATAACATAACCACAAGTACAGTGTAACCCCTATTTGGTGACGGCTGCAGTGATGTCAGTATGCAGTAGTCTATCTACTGGACATATCTTGGCCTCTTCCTGCCACTAGATAGCACTCTTTTACTGTGGTAAAGACTGGTGGGCTTTACTGTCGCAGCTCTGTGGTACAATGTACAGTATGTTGCTCCTTTGATCAGCATTAACATTCAGGATGTTTATGGATTGGCACTGATTAACGAAAACAAATCTAATGATTAGGAAAATAGAATAAAATAGTAACAGCAGCAACAACAGCATAATCTGAACTCTCGCTGATTAATGTCCTGTCATACTTAAGCTCATAAATTAGCGCTAATGGGATGTCTGACAGGAGACATTTGTCTCTCCCTGAAACTACACTGGTGCTATCTAATTAAAAGGTAAAAAAAAAATACATGATAAAAATAAATTGATATGAAGATATGAATGCCTAACATTTGTTGAAACACTTTAAATAGCAAGTAATTGGCCAATCCCACAGGATGCGTGTTGTCAGAATATTTTACATATGCACAATTTATAGAATGAATAACCAAAAACTGTGGGAATTGCTTGCCTTTTTCATGGTGACTCTGCATCAAAGAAAACTTGTTGATGACTTTGCACTACACCTTTCTAGGTCTCAGCCACAAGCTAAAAGCTATTCAGTGACTGAGCTGTACATGTAACCACATCTTAAAAATAACTTCAAACATCCATGAGAGCAAAAGGATTCATAAAAGTGCCAGCATTCTGCCTGTTTACTGTACCCTTGTGTAACCTGACTGATGCAGGCAGGCAGGCTCTTGGTGTGTATACACCCAGCTGCTGGATGTTGAAATCACCCTGCTTTGCTATACTTTGAATTAAAGTCTTAAAGATGAGACATTGTGGACTGCACTTCTCATGGTGCAGAGGGTGTGAGGTTTAAGCCAGGCTAAGAGCGGCACTTGAATGCTTAGCACATTTCAGTTTCCCATGACCATGAGCTGCAGTAGTGCCTGTTAAACCAGACTGACGTCTCTTTTACGTCATTGTATGGGAGAGGATGTTACATAAAACTCCATGTGGGAATCTGTCTGTTTGATTTCATCTTTCTTATTGTCAAGTGGCTACATGTCAGTGACAGTGATGTCAGGCATTTGCAGAATTGAAGGTGCACGTGTGATATGTCATGTGCTGCAGATATTAATGGTAAGTGTGACCAGAATAAGCTTACAGCGGTCCCTTCTGCAGCCTTGTTACCTGTGACCTCTCAGCATGGTGGTTAGACTGTTGCATCTAAAGTAAAAGAAGATGTGGCTATAGTGTAAATGTGCTTTCATTTTTGGTCAGTACATCCCTTTTTGAGTTTGTGTACTGTGTGTGTTTGTTTTTACAGTACAGTAGCTTTACATAGTTGAACAAAGACTGCTTGGTTCAACATGTTTAAAACATGAAAAATGAAGTCCACCTAAATGTCTGTTAATAAAATACTGGCTTATAAATTGTTGTAGCTGAAGTGGAGTGAATAATATTTGTTCTTCCTGATCTGATTCATGTGTTCAAGAAGTGGAATGTTCTGCAATGGCCAAGTCATATCATCTGACCTGAATCCAATTGAGCATGCGTTTCTCTTGCTGAAGCCAAAACTGAGGGCAAAACACCCAAAACACAAGCTGGAAGTGCAGACGGCTGCAGTAAAGGGCTGGCAGAGCATCACCAGGGAAGAAACCCAGCATCTGTTGATGTCTATGTGTCCAACACTTCAGGCAGTCATTGACTGTAAAGGTTTTGCAACCAAGTATTAAAACTGACTGTTTAATTGATGATTATGTTATTTTGTCCAAATACTTATGAGCCCTTAAAGTTGGGGGACTGTGTGAAGAAATGGTTGTTATTCCTACATGGTTCATACTACATTTTTGAAAAAAGCCTTAAATGAAAGCTGAGAGTCTGCACTTTAAGCAGGTATTCATTGTTTCATTTAAAACCCATTGTGGTGGTGTACAGAGCCAAAATGATGACAACTGTATCATTGTCCAAATAATTATGGACCTGACTGTATATATGGTAGAGCTTTTATTTTGAAAGGTAAGAATGGAAGGATTGAAGCTGTCATGCGCTGCTGTTTACAATGTGGGAGGCCATAAAGACTTTGCAGTGTATGTGCAGACTATGGAGCCTCCATCTTAATACCTACATAAGTGTGGCCACAACGGTAGCTAACAGCAGACTGGC